TATAGACTAGACTATAGACTAGACTATAGACTAGACTATAGACTAGACTATAGACTACTAGACTAGACTATAGACTAGACTATAGACTAGACTATAGACTAGACTATAGACTAGACTATAGACTAGACTATAGACTAGACTATAGACTAGACTATAGACTAGACTATAGACTAGACTATAGACTAGACTATAGACTAGACTATAGACTAGACTATAGACTAGACTATAGACTAGACTAGACGACTATAGACTAGACGATAGACTAGACTATAGTACTATAGCGAAGACTTAGGACTAGACTATAGACTAGACTATGACTAGACTATAGACTAACTATAGACTAGACTATAGAATAGACATAGACTGACTATAGACTAGACTATAGACTAGACTATAGACTAGACTAGAGACTAGACTATAGACTAGACTATAGACTAGACTTATAGACTAGACTATAGACTTAGACGATAGACTAGAGACTACTAGACTAGACTATTACTTGACTACAGACTAGACTATAGACTAGGCTAATAGACTAGGTCATAAGAATAGGCTATAGACGTAGGCTATAGACTAGGCTATAGGCTAGACTATAGACTAGGCTATAGGCTAGACTATAACTAGGCTATAGACTAGGCTATAGCTAGACTATAGACTAGGCTATACTATTAGAAAAGCGTAACAAACGATAACAAAATTAGATATGCATATTATGATTTTTCTCATTTAGCCCACTGTGAGTCATTGGTTTTCGTTTTTATGTGTGTATATGGTTTTTTCTATTTTCATATTTTCTGCCCTTTTTTCTTTGGCAAGAATAAAACAGAGCAAAACCCAACAGTACTATCAAAATTCAAAATATCAACGACCATACAACAACAACAAAAGGCCAAAGCAACATGTTACTAAACTAATAAAAAACACTACGCACACATATACTACACATCAGTGACAGGTATTCTTAAACTTTAGGGACCAAAAATATAAAATAATTTTAATATAATGACAAACTAAAAGGAACAAAATTATTCAATCTAGAGCTTTAACAAATATCAGTTATTTTTCCAAAAAAGTATGTGGAAGTGTTCTCTTTTCTTTGGACACTGCTGCCTATCAGTGTTTGTTTATCCTATTTTATACACACACACATGTATGTATTTTGTGTTTGAGTTTGTATGTGTTTGTATAACTATTTAGGACTTTTATAATGAGAGGCAAAATAGGCAAAAAGTTACATTTTAGTAAGTTGATATTATAATGGTCATTTGAAGGTAAAACTTTACAAGTCCGAAATTGAGAACTTTATTTGAAAACCTTTAAAACTTAAGAAAAATCTTAAAACTATACTCATGATATTTGGAATTATTGTCAAATTATAAGTTTTTTTTTTAATTTCAAACATATTTAATGTAGAATACTGTTTTTAAACATAAGTCATTATTCAGAGATAACAGTAATATATTTATATATGTACTTTCGTATGTGTTTCTCTACACATATGCATATAAACTCTACTCTCTATACGACTTTAACTAGATTAATTTCTCTACCAGAATTTATAGCCATTGGTATTACTGGCTCACTGGGGACGTCTGTTTTTTGTTCATAATCAACAATAAAATTAAATTTTGCCAACAATATACACATACATACATATGTATATATGTATGTACATATGTATGCATAAATGTAAATATATTTTCATAATAATATTGGCAAAAGGGAAATTAAACATGCATAACAACATACATATGTATGTATATTTATTTATGCAAAATCCATTTATAAATGTTTAAAGAGTAAAATTGCAAATTATATATAAAAAAAATATTAATTGATAATTTTAGCCAAAGTAAGTGCCTTTTTTCCAATTAATATTTAAACAATTCAATTATATTATCGTTTCCTATTCACAAATCGATGGCTTTTATGATTGGGTACTCATGACCTCATCTAAAAATATTAAATGTCCTGTTACAATTATTTAAGGGTGGTTTAACCAATTTTCGCCCTATAATTTTTTTCTATTTTCTGGTTTTGTTTTGAAATGGAGTGATTGTTGATACTTCTTTTTTTGAGGGCAGGTGAGTAGTATGGAAAGGAGGAAATATGTACATTAGATGACTAGACTATATATAGACTATATATAAACTAGACTATAGACTAGACTACAGACTATACTAAAGACTAGACTATAGACTAGACTACAGACTATACTAAAGACTAGACTATAGACTATAGACTAGACTATAGACTAGACTATAGACCAGACTATAGACTAGACTATAGACTAGACTATAGACTAGACTATAGACTATAGACTAGACTATAGACTAGACTATAGACTAGACTATAGACTAGACTATAGACTAGACTATAGACTAGACTATAGACTAGACTATAGACTAGACTATAGACTAGACTATAGACTAGACTATAGACTAGACTATAGACTAGACTATAGACTAGACTATAGACTAGACTATAGACTAGACTATAGACTAGACTATAGACTAGACTATAGACTATAGACTAGACTAGACTAGACTATAGACTAGACTATAGACTAGACTATAGACTAGACTATAGACTAGACTATAGACTAGACTATAGACTAGACTATAGACTAGACTATAGACTAGACTATAGACTAGACTATAGACTAGACTATAGACTAGACTATAGACTAGACTATAGACTAGACTATAGACTAGACTATAGACTAGACTATAGACTAGACTATAGACTAGACTATAGACTAGACTATAGACTAGACTATAGACTAGACTATAGACTAGACTATAGACTAGACTATAGACTAGACTATAGACTATACTAGACTAGACTATAGACTAGACTATAGACTAGACTATAGACTAGACTATAGACTAGACTATAGACTAGACTATAGACTAGACTATAGACTAGACTATAGACTAGACTATAGACTAGACTATAGACTAGACTATAGACTAGACTATAGACTAGACTATAGACTAGACTATAGACTAGACTATAGACTAGACTATAGACTAGACTATAGACTAGACTATAGACTAGACTATAGACTAGACTATAGACTAGACTATAGACTAGACTATAGACTAGATAGACTAGACTATAGACTAGACTAGACTATACTAGACTAGACTAGACTATACTAGACTAGACTATAGACTAGACTATAGACTAGACTATAGACTAGACTATAGACTAGACTATAGACTAGACTATAGACTAGACTATAGACTAGACTATAGACTAGACTATAGACTAGACTATAGACTAGACTATAGACTGACTATAGACTAGACTAGACTAGACTATAGACTAGACTATAGACTAGACTATAGACTAGACTATAGACTAGACTATAGACTAGACTATAGACTAGACTATACTAGACTATAGACTAGACTATAGACTAGACTATAGACTAGACTATAGACTAGACTATAGACTAGACTATAGACTAGACTATAGACTAGACTATAGACTAGACTATAGACTAGACTATAGACTAGACTATAGACTAGACTATAGACTAGACTATAGACTAGACTATAGACTAGACTATAGACTAGACTATAGACTAGACTATAGACTAGACTATAGACTAGACTATAGACTAGACTATAGACTAGACTATAGACTAGACTATAGACTAGACTATAGACTAGACTATAGACTAGACTATAGACTAGACTATAGACTAGACTATAGAATAGACTAGACTATAGACTAGACTATAGACTAGACTATAGGACTAGACTATAGACTAGACTATAGACTAGACTATAGACTAGACTATAGACTAGACTATAGACTAGACTATAGACTATAGACTAGACTATAGACTAGACTATAGACTAGACTATAAGACTAGACTATAGACTAGACTATAGACATAGACTAGACTATAGACTAGACTATAGACTAGACTATAGACTTAGACTATAGACTAGACTATAGACTAGACTATAGACTAGACTATAGACTAGACTATAGACTAGACTATAGACTAGACTATAGACTAGACTATAGACTAGACTATAGACTAGACTAGAGACTATAGACTAGACTATAGACAGACTATAGACTAGCTATAGACTAGACTATAGACTAGACTATAGACTAGACTATAGACTAGACTATAGACTAATAGACAGACTATAGACTAGACTATAGACTAGACTATAGACTAGACTATAGACTAGACTATAGACTAGACTATAGACTAGACTATAGACTAGACTATAGACTAGACTATAGACTAGACTATAGACTAGACTATAGACGAGACTGTATACTAGACCATATACTAGACCATAGACTATAGACTATAGACAAAAGTATGATACATACTATAGTAAAAACTACACTACATAGACTGTCAACTGATCAAACACTACGGTCCTGTTCTAAACTCACCTGTGGTCGAACAAATATCCCTTTGCATGCTTAACAGCAAAAACAAACAACAAACTAAAATACATATAACAAAAAAGCAATGAACCGTTAGTTAAATGCCAAGCAAAACACCTCGTAACTGAACACGAACATTTCCAACGGACTCCACATCCAACAAATGGTCATTTATATTACAGCTACTTAATAAAACAGAGCAGAAAAAAAAGAAGCAAGAAATAAAGTTAAAACTCAAGCAGCAGGAAAAAAACTAGAAAAATACAATATTTAGCCACAAACGAAACAAATGAAATAATGGCTAAATGCAAAGTAAAATGCTTTTAATGAATTTAGTCACTAAACAGCTGCGTGCTTAAACACGTCTTATATAAAATAACTAAATAAACGTGAAATTAAATTAACTTTATACTAGAAAAATATATATTTTATAATCAAAACTAAAAGCTAGTTTAAAAATACTTAATTAAAATCCTAAAAAACAAACTTTTTATACCTTAAATTTTAAACTTTTTCTTATAGTGTATATTTAAAATTAAGCCGTATAAATAGTGTAAGAAAGTACGAAAAAAATAAACAAAAAACAAATCAAATAATGGGTTGTGCTAGTAGTACGCCAATGATACAAACAACCGGAAGTGAAATGTTAAAAGCAGCCACACATGTTGCCACAGATGCAACAAAAACGGCTGAAGATGCAGTAGAAGGTACAAAAAGAAAAACTACAAAAATAAGAGACAAGTAAAAATAAAAATGTCCTGCCTTAACGTGCACACTCATGATTTTTACACATGCCTTCACTGGCAGACAAACAATATCAACATGAGTTTTTTTTCCAGTATATAAAGGGGTGTGAGTGGGTGTGTATGTGCATTTGTGTGTTTTTTGTTGATAAGACAATAAAAAGTAGTTTTAAATTGTTTAAAGTTTAAGACGAATTTTTATTACAGTTTGGAAAAAAAGCAGAGAAATTTGGTTTGGGAAAAGTTCGTTAGGAAATATGAAAAACAAAATGTTTCTTCAACTTTACCAAAGTTTTGGTTTTATGTTACAATTTTTGTTTAAATATTTGGCAATAATTGTGGTAACGAAAGAGTATCTTGTTAACAAAATACTTACTATAGTATTCATTAGATGTTATACTTAGACTGGTGTATAGTCAAGTCTATAATCGAGACTATACTTGGGTCTATAGATGAAATTATAGTCAGATCTAGAAAATAGAATATAGTCTGATCTAGACTAGAGTGTATACTATACACTATAGTCTGATATTCGCTCTGGTTTTTAGTATCGATTGTTGTCCCATCTATAGTCTCTACTATATTCTATTCTGTAGTCTGATCTATAGTCCCATCTATAGTCTGCTGTATTTCCTGCAGTCTAGTATATAGTCTAGTCCTTATTATAATCTGCAGCCTGTTCTATAGTTTGGTCAATAATCTATAGATTTGTCTATATACATATAGTTTGGTCTGATCTACAGTCTCGTCTATAGTCCGGTCTATACATTGATCTACAGTCAATAGCCTGACCTTGGCCTTTAATCTGTTCCATAGTTTTTTCAATAGACTGGTTAATGGTCTGATGTATAGTCTAGCCTATAGTTTGGTCTGTAGTATGCCGAATAGCATAGTACTTAGTCTAGCCTATAGTCTGTTCTATAGTCTGGACCTATAGTCTGGTTTATAGTCTAGGTTACAGTATCGTCTAATATTTGGTCTATGGGCTGGTCTGTAGTGTGGCCTATAATATGGTTTATAGTTTAGTCTATGGTCATTAGTCTGGTTTATACGCTGGTCTATAATCAGGTGTACTTTCTGGTCTATAGTCTGATCTATAGTTTGGTGTACATATAGTCTGGTTTATAGTTTGGTAAATAGCGTTGCCATTAGTGTGGTTTATACTCTGATTTATAGTCTAGTCTTTGGACTGGTATATAATCTAGTATATAGTATCATCTAAAGTCTTGCCTAAATCTTGTCAATAGTCTAGTCTATAATTTTGTATATAGTCTGATTTATAGTCTGACCACTAAACTGGTTAAAAGTCTGATCTACATTCTAGTATATCTAGTCTATAGTCTCTAGTATGGATCTAAAATCTGATCTATGGTTTCATCTACATTCTGGTCTTTAGTCTGCTCTATAATCTGGTCTATATTTTGGTTTATAGAGTGGTCTATAACATAGTTTATAGTCTAATCTAAAGTCTGGACTAAAGTTTGGTCTAAAGGCTGGTGTAAAGTCTTGGCTAAAGTCTGGTCTATATTTTGATCTATATTATAGTATTTAGTCTGCTCTATATTTTTTCTCTTATTCCCTCATAGATTTATTTTAACATACAGACATATATGAACACAAATAATTCATTTCTATTGCAAAAACAAGTGTGGGTATGAGCTTTGTTATTGTTGTTGAATTTCAAGTGACAGTTCATGTTAATGTTTTGAATTTTGATAAGAGGAAAGAAACACAAACAAAAAATCACTAAATTGGTATTTAACATAAGAGCTTTGTTAAAATGGTATATGTCACTTCTTTGGAAATGACACTCAAGAGAGGCGGGCTAATTTTAAATTAAAAATAGAAAAGAAAATAGAGTGTTTGTTGTAAGATTTAAAAAAAATATAAATGATTTGACAGTAGTATGAAATAAAATATTTTTAAACTGTTAGTTAAATAAAAAATTTATACGAATTCTTGTTTACTAAGTATTTGCTTATTGAGCACTCGTGCGTATACGTGTTGAAATAATACTCATACGTCGTGAGGTTCTGACTACACAGGCTCATTTGTTTCAAAACAAATTTAGTAAATTTTTAAAAACTTTATTATTTGCTTAAAAATTGTTTAATGTTTGTATTGTTTGCAATTATTCATTATAAATTTAGTTAAAACAATCAAAATATTATTTCATTTAGCTTGAACATTTATGAAAAATATCTTGGCTTAATTTCAAAATTTAGAGTTTATTGTTATAATTCTTTAAACTTTATTCAAATAAAATTTGATTAAATGCCAAACTATTGGAGATTTTTTGGCAAACACAATGTGTTCATTATTTTAATATAATTTTATAGCAAATTAAATAAATATGTTTTGAAAAAAACTCACAAAATTACTGCTAATACAAAATGAAAATTGGTCTTTGCCCCAAAATTAACATATTTTCCATATAATTTTAATTATGAAAAAAATATATAAAATTAAAACGTAAAAATTTACATATGAACGCATGAACTTTCATTTTAATTCATATTAAAAAAATATGTATTTATATGCCATAATTTAACTTAATTTATTAAACAACAACAATTACGCCAATATTTAAAACTAAAAATAAAAGTCAAACAAACATACAGACATTCCTTTAAAAGAGAAAGAGAGGGACAACAAATAAAAACACTACTTAAAATGAGTACATTGCGTGTTAAATGCTCTAGAGTGAGTGTGTGTTTGGGTTTTTGTGTGCGTATGTGTTGTTTATATTTATTACAAATATATATAAAAAAACAGAGTGAAAAAAGCAACAGTAAATATTTCAACTTGGGTCAACATTCACGCTCGATTAGCAATACAAGTGGGGCCAAACCAAACTACTTACTCATGGGGGGTTTTGGAAATAAATAAAAAATATAAAAGAATTTCTTTATAAATAAGAACGTTTAAAAAAAGTTTAAAAACTAGATCCGTGTCTTCTTACATTCCGAGTCTACTTACTTTCGTAGTCCATGATTAAGACTATAGTCTGGTTTGCCTATTGTTTGGTCTATAAACGAGTCTATAATCAGTTTAATAGTCGGGATTATATTGTCGTCGAAAATAAAGTCTGGTCTTTAGTTAGTAGAGGTTAAATCTTTATTTTAAAGTCTTTAAAAAGGTATTTCGTATTTATGGTACAAAGACTTCAAGTGGTAGTGAAATTCTAGGGCCAGATTCATATTAGAAAAGCATACTATGTTCCATGGGTTTAATATTGTGCTAGACCGTGTTACTCTTTGACTTTTTCTTAAATACTTTTCGAAAATTCAAACTAATTTACAATTTTGTTTACAAAATATTTTAATTAAAATCTTTACCTCAAACAAAAGTTTATACAATTAAAATATTTACTCTTTCTTAACAAAATTTTGCACATTTTTATGCTGAAACATGTTGACTTTCTATTTCTTAAGTAAACAAAAGACTAAGGACCTTTTTTGTTGTTGTTGTTGTTGTGGTTCAAGTTAAATACCTTTTGAATGCTTAAGACTTTCGTGCATAAATTTCTGTAGAAAGTTGTGGAACTTAAGATCTTGTCAGCAATGTTGGCAGCAACTATGACCCTTCCTAAGGGTTGGACATATTTGACATTGATTCATGTAAATATGTATTATTTAAAATGGAAACAAAAAATGTGTACTGTACATGATGTATGATGTATTTATATTTTCCAAGTGTATGCACCAGAACACGTGTTGTTCACTCAACCTTTAAAATATTTATTATAAATGTATTTAAAATATATATTTTATGTGCATGAACTTTAACAAACAATAAACAATTAATTTATTGTTTTAAATTGCATGCATTTAATGAGCTTTTAAAAAAATACACAGAGACTTTTCGAATAGGGAGAATAGGAAGACAAATGTGAGCAGAGACTGTAGAGTATGTAGGCTAACTAACTAACTAACTAACTAACTAACTAACTAACTAACTAACTAACTAACTAACTAACTAACTAACTAACTAACTAACTAACTAACTAACTAACTAACTAACTAACTAACTAACTAACTAACTAACTAACTAACTAACTAACTAACTAACTAACTAACTAACTAACTAACTACTAACTAACTAACTAACTAACTAACTAACTAACTAACTAACTAACTAACTAACTAACTAACTAACTAACTAACTAACTAACTAACTAACTAACTAACTAACTAACTAACTAACTAACTAACTACTAACTAACTAACTAACTAACTAACTAACTAACTAACTAACTACTAACTAACTAACTAACTACTAACTAACTAACTAACTAACTAACTAACTAACTAACTAACTAACTAACTAACTAACTAACTAACTAACTAACTAACTAACTAACTAACTAACTAACTAACTAACTAACTAACTAACTAACTAACTAACTAACTAACTAACTAACTAACTAACTAACTAACTAACTAACTAACTAACTAACTAACTAACTACTAACTAACTAACTAACTAACTAACTAACTAACTAACTAACTAACTAACTAACTAACTAACTAACTAACTACTAACTAACTAACTACTAACTAACTAACTAACTAACTAACTAACTAACTAACTAACTAACTAACTAACTAACTAACTAACTAACTAACTAACTAACTAACTAACTAACTAACTAACTAACTAACTAACTAACTAACTAACTAACTAACTAACTAACTAACTAACTAACTAACTAACTAACTAACTAACTAACTAACTAACTAACTAACTAACTAACTAACTAACTACTAACTAACTACTAACTAACTAACTAACTACTAACTAACTAACTAACTAACTAACTACTAACTAACTACTAACTAACTAACTAACTAACTAACTAACTAACTAACTAACTAACTAACTAACTAACTAACTAACTAACTAACTAACTAACTACTAACTAACTAACTAACTAACTAACTAACTAACTACTAACTACTAACTAACTAACTAACTAACTAACTAACTAACTAACTAACTAACTAACTAACTAACTAACTAACTACTAACTAACTAACTAACTAACTAACTAACTAACTACTAACTAACTAACTAACTAACTAACTAACTAACTAACTAACTAACTAACTAACTAACTAACTAACTACTAACTAACTAACTAACTAACTAACTAACTAACTAACTAACTAACTAACTAACTAACTAACTAACTAACTAACTAACTAACTAACTAACTAACTAACTACTAACTAACTAACTAACTAACTAACTAACTAACTAACTAACTAACTAACTAACTAACTAACTAACTACTAACTAACTAACTAACTAACTAACTAACTAACTAACTACTAACTAACTAACTAACTAACTAACTAACTAACTAACTAACTAACTAACTAACTAACTAACTAACTAACTAACTAACTAACTAACTAACTAACTAACTAACTAACTAACTAACTAACTAACTAACTAACTAACTAACTAACTAACTAACTAACTAACTAACTAACTAACTAACTACTAACTAACTAACTAACTACTAACTAACTAACTAACTAACTAACTAACTAACTAACTAACTAACTAACTAACTAACTAACTAACTAACTAACTAACTAACTACTAACTAACTAACTAACTAACTAACTAACTAACTAACTAACTAACTAACTAACTAACTAACTAACTAACTAACTAACTAACTAACTAACTAACTAACTAACTAACTAACTAACTAACTAACTAACTAACTAACTAACTAACTAACTAACTAACTAACTAACTAACTAACTAACTAACTAACTAACTAACTAACTAACTAACTAACTAACTAACTAACTAACTAACTAACTAACTAACTAACTAACTAACTAACTACTAACTAACTAACTAACTAACTAACTAACTAACTAACTAACTAACTAACTAACTAACTAACTAACTAACTAACTAACTAACTAACTAACTAACTAACTAACTAACTAACTAACTAACTAACTAACTAACTAACTAACTAACTAACTAACTAACTAACTAACTAACTAACTAACTAACTAACTAACTAACTACTAACTAACTAACTAACTAACTAACTACTAACTAACTAACTAACTAACTAACTAACTAACTAACTAACTAACTAACTAACTAACTAACTAACTAACTAACTAACTAACTAACTAACTAACTAACTACTAACTAACTAACTAACTAACTAACTAACTAACTAACTAACTAACTAACTAACTAACTAACTAACTAACTAACTAACTAACTAACTAACTAACTAACTAACTAACTAACTAACTAACTAACTAACTAACTAACTAACTAACTAACTAACTAACTAACTAACTAACTAACTAACTAACTAACTAACTAACTAACTAACTAACTAACTAACTAACTAACTAACTAACTAACTAACTAACTAACTAACTAACTAACTAACTAACTACTAACTAACTAACTAACTAACTAACTAACTAACTAACTAACTAACTAACTAACTAACTAACTAACTAACTAACTACTAACTAACTAACTACCTACTAACTAACTAACTAACTAACTAACTAACTAACTAACCTAACTAACTAACTAACTAACAACTAACTAAAACTACAAACTAACAAACTAAACTAACTAACTAACTAACTAACTAACTAACTACTAACTAACTAACTAACTAAACTAACTAACTAACTAACTAACTAACGAACTAACTAACTACTAACTAACTAACTAACTAACTAACTAACTAACTAACTAAATAACTAACTAACTAACTAACTAACTAACTAACTAACTAACTAACTACTAAACTAACTAACTACTAACTACTAACTAACTAACTAACTAACTAACTAACTAACTAACTAACTACTAACTAACTAACTAACAAACTACAACTAACTAACTAACTAACTAACTAACTTACTAACTAACTAACTAACTAATTCTAAAAAAATAGATTTTTAAAATATTTCTTTTTGGGAGGGACCCTCCTAATATTATTGTTAAAATATTTATCGATTTTTTTTTATAACTTGTGTTGCGAAAATTTCTTTGCAGGCGTAAAGGAAACTGTGGGCAAAACTCTAGAAACCGCAAAAGATTCAGTGGCTACAACAGTCGAAAGTGTTAAACATGAAGTAGAGAATGTGGTCAAAGATAAAACAGAAATGTTGGAGGATGCTAAAAATACACTAATGGAAAAATTGCATTTAAAACAAACAGACAGCGAAGAAGACAACAAAAACGAACAGGCGGAAACGGATGAAACGATGAAAACTCAATTAAATGAAAGCAATGGCAGTGAAAATGATGATACAGCCACCACTAGTACAACAGCTGCAGCAGCAAAAGATATAAAAGAACAAATTCTAACACGAACTGACACTGAAACGGATAGTTTAAAAACTTCTACACCGGAACCGGAAATCGAACAGGCATTAGCTAAAAACCATGATAATTCGGAAGGGGATGAAGACGATAATCCACCCACACCTAAGCCTACATTATCGGAATTGGAAAATCTAACAGCAGAAGTTTTAAAACAGCAGCCACTTAACGATACAGCTATGATGGTCAATGACCTTAACAGGACAAATAATGAGCATGTAATGTCAGGCATGCATGAAAACATTAAAACTTTGGATAATGACAGCAATAACATGACAAAGGCAGCAGAAGCAGCAGCAGCTGTAGGGTCAACTAACAACGATATTAAGTCCAATAACATGCAGTGAGTAGGCAGGTCCTTCTAAATTAACTAATGTGTCATTTGTTTTCTATTTATTGGGTGTAATTTTTTTTCTGTATCCTTAATTAAATGTGATGTGTGATATGTTGTGTGTATTTAAACAGTTTTTCAAAGTTTTTTTAAACAAAAAATTTAAAATTAGTGAAAAAAAAAAAAATGAAATAGCAAACCTAAACATGTCTAGGCATGCAATAGTTTGTTAAACAAACAAAAAAGAACTCTTTATAGAGTGAAAATATATAAAAAGTTTTATGGTCATTGCACTTTAATAATAATCTACTTCTATTATCTTTAATTTATTATTATTAGAACCAAGTAGTTTGTTTTTTTTTTAGCTGTAAGGAAACTTTTTTATTTCTTTAGTTTTTATAGTAGAATTTTTACTAATATTTCCTAGTAATTTCCAAAAAAGAACACACTGTAGTTAAATTATATACTTAAACAAATATACATTTACTAATTAATACCTATTTATTACTAATATATTGTATATTTTAACAAAACTGTACAAGAAACTTGTGTAAATACAAACAAACACTTTAATTATGCTTTAATTATTAGAAGAAAAAGTTATTTGGCATTAGTTGTTTGTGTCAAGGAAATTGTTGTTGGAAATGGAAATCAATTGGTCAATCAATCAATCAACCCGTTTGTCAGTCAATCATGCTTTTAACAAGTTCATTTTCATTTTTGATTGTTAACAATTTATGATTTATTGAACTTTGAGAACAATTTTCGTAAATTTTTGTATACATAAGAAAAAGATGAAGAATTTCAAAGAGTGTGGATAGCACAGGCTGACAAATTTTTAACCGAGTTACGAAAGTATACTTTTCTAAAGGACTAGATTAGCTTGGTAAGAGCTGGCACCATATTTACTTGCAATAAAGAGGCAGATCACTGAAAACTGCCTCTCTATCGCTCGCGACAAATGGTCGCGTGAACACACGTATGTTGAGCACTGTGGCCACAAATGGATCCACACAGGTCCAAATATCTTCTTGGTCTCCAAAGACCACATCATGCTAGATGCATTGGTCTCCCGTTCAACGACTTCTGTAGGAGTTGTCAAAATGAGGATGAAGAAGAGACTATTACTCATCTTCTCTTCACTCTTTGGCAGAGACCCGAATTCGGACACTTGGCCTATTATGGCGATCTACCCGAATTGTCAAATATTCAATTGGGACGTCTTCTGACGTTTATAAATTTGTCAAAATGGGTGTGAACCTTGTTACTCACACTAATTATCCATGGCAGTTTAGGCCTGGATTTTCACTTCAGCAGTTTCCTCTCATCTCCTCTTTTTCTTTGGTACTCTGTTTTTCTACTCTTCCCTATCTCTCTTTTCTTCTAACAGGTATTTTTACAAAGGGATCAACCTGGACCCAAGTAAAACCGAAATTGGCTACCTGTGATAACCTAACCTAATCTAACCTAGATTAGGTTGATACTTAGTAGGATGTATACTACATCAAATCCAAAGAAATATACCTAGGCCACTATCGGGTCAGTTGTGCGCTCTTTTAATTCCGGAATAATATCACTTTCAAGATACTTGGTTTTAACTTCGACGAATGCCTGACAGTGGCAAAGAAAGTGCTTCAGAGTTTCACTGTCCTCTCCACATGCTCTACATTCGTCTGAATCCGCACGTCGAATTTGGTATAGATATGCTCGTAATCCTGTGTGTCCACTCAGAATACATACCATCATACTAACCTCAGACTTGCTCATTCTGAGGAGATTTGTCGTCTTGCTCTCATCAGGGTCACCGCATAGGATCTTTGAGGTTCTACCCAACGTTTCATTATTCCAAGAGGCCTCTCACCCATATTTTTAATTTAGCTTTTGGTGCTTCGAATGGTTTTGCGTGCGTCAGGTTAACTACCTCGAGCTCCCATCACTTTAACTTGGACTCAGGATTATGGTTAATAGGGGGCGTGGCACATACCATGTAAAGATAAAACTTTGTATATTTGGGAAATAATTAGAGCTATAAGCCTAAAATTTGCACAAACAACTTGGACATCACTGTGAACATTTGGTGAAAAAATGAAAGACTAGCAATCGGGGCCGTGCCACACCCCAGGTGAATTGAATACAAAAATGTTTATATCAAAGAAACTATTAAAGCTATAATTCAGAAATTTTGCACGAACAACCTTGACATCCGTAAGCACCCCTCACCAAAGCAATTAAATAAACAAGTAAGAATGTATAGTCGGGCATGGCCGACCGTATAATACCCTACACCAGTGAGTATGTTAAAAATGTGGATTATTTTTCTTATAATAAAGCATTTTTCCTTCATTCCAAAATATTTTAACAATTTGTTACCAAAATAACGTGATTTTCTGAAAGAGTGGTTATGTGGGGGCAAAGGTGAATATGGTCCTATCCGTATAAATTCTGGTAGAGCGATTTACGATGACATTAAAGTTATCTATGCAGAATTTCTGGTAGAGCGATTTACGATGACATTAAAGTTATCTATGCAGAATTTCAATGTGATAGTAGTGTGTTTAAAGGTGAATTTCCACCTTCAAGTAATTTTCTGATAGGGACTTTTTATGGAGGCTAGAATCAAATGAGGACGTATTATTACGAAAATCGGCAGTATTACTTAATGTTATATAAAACTAATATTTAACATTATTATAAGCTGAAAAGCTCTATTCGGGGGATACGGTTGTATGGGGGCTAGGCATAATAATGAACCGATTGCAACCATTTTCAATAGGCTGCGTCCTTGGGTCAGAAGAAGAGTATGTGCGAAATTTCATCATAGGTTTACATGGACACCCAGACGGGCAGACAGACAGACGGACAAACAGACAGACAGACAGACGGACGGATAGACGGACATAGCTTAATCGAATCAGAAAGTGATTCTGATCCGATTTGTGGGTGTTACAAACATCAGCACATATCCTACACCCCCGATTGTGGCGTGGGGTATAAAAATTTGTATATCAGGGAAACTATTACAGCTTTGTAAATCGTATAGCTAGTTTTTTTATAAAAGTCTTCAAAATGGCCATTAATTCCTTTATTCAAAACAACTCATACTTGAATATTTAACTAATAATGCCACATAACTTTTATTTGCTTACAAAATACAAATAAATTTCAATATTTTTTTTCTTATATCCAGTCTAGTAGTTACTTACTAATAATAAACCGTCTACAACTATATACATATGTATAAATAACTATACATACAAAAATACCATGTAAATAAAATTTATTATTATAAAAAAACTTTTAATAAATAAAAACCTATAAAATTTTATAACTTTATAAACTGTAAATATTTATCTTGATTTTTGTTGGTAGAAAAAAAAAACTCTTTAGAAAATTTAACTAAATTTAAAGAGTTTTAACTAACTACAAACAATTTAAGTTAAATAGTAGAAAACCGATAAAAAAGGAACTAGAAAAAAGTTCTGCACTTTAAGTGTGAAATAGTTTATTCTAAAAGTAGTTGCTTTTTCCTTAAGTAGTGTTTTTAGTAGAATTAAAAAGGTAGAAAAATGTTTTCTTGTTTATAATTGTGTCTAAAAAAAGAAATTTTGTAGATTTTTTTTTTGTAACAAGAGGCATTTTAATAAAAACAAGTTTTTTAACAAAATATTATAATTAGCAAAACAGCTACTCAAGTTTCAACAGCAGCAGCAGCAAAACCTATACAAACACGTTCACACTCTCAGCAACCACCACCTCCCCTACTGCCCTTGACTTTGGCTACCACAGCTATAGCAACAGCCACTGCTGCGGCTACTGGTCAGCCTAAGGCTACGAAAGAAAAAGAAAGCAATAAAATGGCTTCAACAGTAGTTAAACCCATGGCCACGCTATCAAATATAGCTGCCCCTAACCCTGCACAGGGAATTGTTAAAAAAATCAAAGTTCTTAAGAGAGAAGACAAAGTTTTGGTGAAAAGAAACTCAGAAATCGAACAAAAACCAAAAGTTTTGGTGAAAAGAAACTCGGAAACCGAACAAAAGCGACCTGGTACTACGGAATGGGAGAAGTTTGCCGATATGTTGGCACAAGTTAGAAAATTTAATCCTCAAGATGCTCTCAGACGTGGAGGGACCTTTTCGAAATTTGGCACCGGTAATGGTAGACCCTCTTATTTCGGACATCACACACGTAGTGGCTTAGATGATGATAGCAGCGACACCACCTCCAATTTCCGAGGCAGTCCCATAAATTCTCAACGTTCTAGCGCTAGGGCAGGTGGTAGAGTGCAACGTTTACCCAATCGTCCCAATACCGGTAATCATCGTAAAAATCATCATGAATTTTCCTCAAACAATGCTGGCGGTAGGTTTGCTAATAAAACACGACGCAATAGCAATGTCAGCTCATCGTCTGGAAGAAAATTTGATTTTAATCCTACGCGATCACGATTAAATGAACTCGTTAAAACCGTAAGTTCTTCTCCTCTTACAGCTAAATCTCTTTTACAGACCACCATCACACAAAAATCCTCTGCACCATCGTACTATCAAACATATGAGAGTGTTAAATCTCCTGCAAACATGAGATCACATCACTCTCGTAACGATACGAGAAATTTGCCTCCCTTGGATTCAATAGAGCATAATCATTACCACCATCACAAACAACAGCAACAACAACACCTTAGATCTGATTATGCTCTTACCTCCTCGGCCTATGATCAACACCACCACCACCAACCACATCACACCGGCAGTAGTATGCCTTTGCAAAGTGATGCCTATAGTAATGATCCTACCTCTCTACTAATCCGTCAATCTTCCAACACTTCTCTCTTCAGTAATAGCTCTTATGTGGATAATTTACATTCATCATACAAATCCACCACTCAACTGGATGTGATGTCATTAAACCCACCGGTTAAGAATACCTCATCGTTCTTATCTACACCGCGTACTTCACCGTTTAGTATAAGAAAATCCTATACGGATCTTTATTTTACAACATCTAGTAATAAGGAGAATACTAAACCATGTGCTACGTCATCAGAGTTGTGTTCAAGGGATAAAAGTCCCTATAAAGTGCGTAAACGCTGTGATGTTTGTTGTAAAAAATATTCGATAAAATAAAGAATTTGATAAAGTTTTGTAAAAAGAAAATTGTTAATTTTCATTTAAGGGAAAAAAGTAAGTAAATTTTTTAAAATTTTAACACAAATTAGTATCAAAAGGTACTTAAAAAATCCCTTTTGAACCTCGTTATTGACTTCTAAGAGTTAACTTTTGAATAGAAAAATATTACATACAATCAGAAATCAAAACAATTCCTTGAGGCTTTGTTAAGCTTTTTGTGATTTCGTTGCTTTAGAACATATATAAAAAAGTACCAAAACATACCTAAAAGTACCAAAAAATTATAGTCTCCATATTTTATTTTGATTTCTTTATATATTGATAAAATCATCATTATAAAAGTACTAGTTCACAAGAATTGATAGCAAAAGTTATTTATTCCTGGTGTTCAAAAAGTACCAAAAACTTTCAAATATACAAAATTGTACCTTTTGTCCATATTTCCGGTACTTTTGCGTCCTTCAAATGGTACTTTTTGTAATTTCTTTATTATTGAACCTAGAAACATATCCTGAGTAAATGACAATCTATAGAGGATTTTAACGTACATGATCTTGAAGGGGGGATCTTTTTGGTACTTTTTGAATTTTTTTAATAATTAACTTAGAAATATAAAATTAAGCCCATAGGGACCATAGCTAATGAAAAATCTATGAAAGGAACTTTTGGTACTTTTACGGTCTTCAAGTGTTAGTTAGTTAGTAGTAGTTAGTTAGTTAGTTAGTTAGTTAGTTAGTTAGTTAGTTAGTTAGTTAGTTAGTTAGTAGTTAGTTAGTTAGTTAGTTAGTTAGTTAGTTAGTTAGTTAGTTAGTTAGTTAGTTAGTTAGTTAGTTAGTTAGTTAGTTAGTTAGTTAGTTAGTTAGTTAGTTAGTTAGTTAGTTAGTTAGTTAGTTAGTTAGTTAGTTAGTAGTTAGTTAGTTAGTTAGTTAGTTAGTTAGTTAGTTAGTTAGTTAGTTAGTTAGTTAGTAGTTAGTAGTAGTTAGTTAGTTAGTAGTTAGTTAGTTAGTTAGTTAGTTAGTTAGTTAGTTAGTTAGTTACTTAGTTAGTTAGTTAGTTAGTTAGTTAGTTAGTTAGTTAGTTAGTTAGTAGTTAGTTAGTAGTAGTTAGTTAGTTAGTTAGTTAGTTAGTTAGTTAGTTAGTTAGTTAGTTAGTTAGTTAGTAGTTAGTTAGTTAGTTAGTTAGTTAGTTAGTTAGTTAGTTAGTTAGTAGTTAGTTAGTGTTAGTTAGTTAGTTAGTTAGTTAGTTAGTTAGTTAGTTAGTTAGTTAGTTAGTTAGTTAGTTAGTTAGTAGTTCTTCGTTCGTTCGTTAGTTAGTTCGTTCGTTCGTTCGTTCGTTCGTTCGTTTTCGTTCGTTCGTTCGTTCGTTCGTTAGTTCGTTCGTTCGTTTAGTTCGTTCGTTCGTTCGTTGTTGTTCGTTCGTTCGTTCGTTCGTCGTTCGTTCGTTTTCGTTCGTTCGTTTGTTCGTTCGTTCGTTCGTTCGTTAGTTCGTTCGTTCGTTCGTTCGTTTAGTTCGTTCGTTTGTTTTAGTTCGTTCGTTTTCGTTCGTTCGTTCGTTCGTTTTCGTTCGTCGTTCGTTCGTTCGTTCGTTCGTTTCGTTCGTTCGTTCGTTCTTCGTTTCGTTCGTTCGTTCTTCGTTTTCGTTCGTTTTCGTGTTCTTCGTTCTTCGTTCGTTCGTTCGTTCGTTCGTTCGTGTTTCGTTCGTTCGTTCGTTCGTTCGTTTCGTTCGTTCGTTCGTTCTTCGTTAGTTCGTTCGTTCGTTCGTTCGTCGTTCGTTTGTTCGTTCGTTTTCGTAGTTAGTAGTTTGTTTGTTTGTTAGTTAGTTAGTTAGTTAGTTATGCCGTTATGGGCCTGTTGTGCGCTCTTTAACCTGTGGTTCAGATGGGAATCAAAACCACCACCTTCGGACTACCAGACTAAAACAGTACCCACTAACATACCGGAGGCCACATCTGACTTATTGAAAATCTGTTAAAAACGGTTTTTTGGTCCTTTTTCTTTATACCCTATAACCACTATAGTAGGGAGGGTGTTATGCATTTGCGCTAATGTTTGTAACACCGAAAAATATTGGCCCTACACCCACCTTACAGTATGTATATATAAAGTATATAATAGAGTCAAAATAATCTTCTGAGTCGATTAAGCTATGTTCGTTTGTCTGTCCGTCTATGTGTCCATATAAAGCTTGTGCGTACTCTACAGGTTGCAATTATCAAGATTATTTGATGAAATTTGCCACATACTATTCTTTCAACCCAAGGACGAAGCCTATTGAAAATCGGTCCATAATTTCGCCCAGCCCCCATACAACCGTACCTCCCGAATAGGGCTATTGAGCTTATAATAATGTTAAATATTGTACAATCTCTACAAAAGTCTGAAAATCTTAGTTTTATATGAGTATAAATGTTACTGCCGATTTTAGTAATGATAGGGCCTCGTTTGACCCTAGCCCCCATACAAAGTCCCCTTCAGAAAATGACTTGAAGGCGGAAATTCACCTTTAAATGCTACTATCACATTGAAATTCTGTAAAAATAACTTTAATGTCATCATAAGTCACTCTACCAAAATCTATACGGATAGGACCATATTTACCTTTATCCCCATATAACCTCTCTTTCAGAAAATCACTTTTTTGATAACAAATTATTAAAATATTTCGGAATTAAGGAAAAATGCTTTATTATTAGAAAAATAATCCACATTTTTAACATACGGGTGTAGAAGGGTATAATATGGTCGACCATGTCCGACTATACATTCTTAATTTATATAACGGTAGCGAAGCACGTCAAGTACTCAGGTTTCTAATAATATTTAAAAAAAAAAAACATTTACTTTGATTGCAAATACTTATTTCTATAGAAAAAAAGTCACACTCTGGAGAATATACAGAATAAAATACAGTCATTTATAAGATCTTAAGCAATAAACTACGATAAAATGAATAATCGCGCGGAAAACGCGTGGCAAAGTATTTTTAAATCGTATTATATACTCGAAAATATATTTAAATATTTAGATTTAAAAGAACAAATAAAATTAGCGACAGTGTGTATGCGTTTTGCATACGTTTTAGCCGAATTTCTGTGGCCTAAAACTTGGGCCAAAATAAATCTATATAAAACGCCTGATGTTAGTATAATCAACAAAATTGATAATGACAATGATACGGAAATGGATGAAATGATAAGCAGCAAAATTGCCTTAAAACACAAAGAATGTAATATATTTCTATTAATAAACGCCAGAAATGTAAAAGCGCTAAAAGTGAAATCGGAATATTTTTATGATCGCATTGATCGGGCAATTTCTTTTAGAAATATAGAAAAATTTAGAAATTTAAGAAAACTCACCTATCAACGTCTCATTTTAGATGATGACCAACTGAAAGTTTTGTGTGTAAATTGTAAAAAATTACAGAGATTACATTTACTAGACTGTTATAATAAAAACTTGAAGACACTTATTCCTGGCAAGGATTTAAATTTGAATTATATTTTCGAAATGAAACAATTGGAGGAAATTATGATATACACAACGGATCCAGCTAATCAGGCAGTATTAAAATCTTCTCATCTACCAGATATGTTTGTCAATTTAAAGCTGAAGAAATTGATTTTGAAAAATTTTGTCATTAATTATAATTATACTGAAACCGTGAAAAGTACATGCACTACGTTGGAAGTTCTTAATATGGGCATTATATCTAAAGAAATCTGGCCCAGTTTTATGTATTATTTGTATCATTTTGAAAATCTCAAAGAGCTTTTTATCAATGTTAGCAACTGCAATACTTGCTTTGATATTCAAATCGTTGATATTTTGGCGGCCAACTGCAGAAAAATTGAAAAATTGTCACTAGAAAATTGTGATTTGGATGTTGAGGATTTTAGTGTTCTAATAAGTCTTAAACATTTATCATTGACTTCTTGTGGTGGTTTAACATATAGAAATTTTCAACAAATATTACAAGATTTACAGTTAAAATCATTTGCCCTGATTAAAACACGTATTTATGGCAGAATGACTTCTTATTATGGTTCAGCTACTTTGGAGAAAATCACTATTGATACCATATACTCTACAAAAATATCGGAAGCTTTTCAGAAGGCTCGTAATAATTTTGAAAATTTACACACTCTAGAGTGGTTTAACGGTAGTACAAATGGCAATTGGCTGACTAATAAATGTCCCAAATTGAAATGTTTACACATACCCAATCCTTATTCAGTGAAAAGGTTTGTTTTTACCATGCAATCGCTCAGAGATTTAACATTTACTTACAGCAAGAGTAATATGTTTTACTATATTTTTGCTTTGATTCATTATATGAAACTGGAACGTTTGTCCTTGGTGACAAACGAACTGATAGATGAAAGAAAAATGTTAAGACTTTATGCCTGCAGTAAAAAAACCACCTTGCGCCTGATAATTATACCATGTATAATATTTAAAATGTCCCAATCATTTTGGCTTGATCTAATATATAGCAATGAGGATTTACATATTACGATGTATGGCAAACATGAGGAATTACTGGATGACTTTTTTCTGCGTGAATTGATTAGTTCTGAGAAATTCTGTAGAAGAGTGAAGTCTTTAAAGATTTGCGGTTTTATATGGGGTAATGTATTGATAAATATTTAATTGTTTAAATGTAATAACATAATCCCACTGGATTCCCCTCCAGATATTTCAGATTTTATTTTTATAAAATAACAAACGAAAATGTATCTTAATAAATCAGGTCGGTGTTTGTTTAGTTTTATGTTTCTATGTTCAGTAGGGCTCCGGTAGGTTAGTGTTCTAGTCTGGTAGACCGGAGGTGGTGGGTTCGATTCCCACCTGATGCACCAAACAATTTACCCGAATTCGGTCCTATATAGACTTTAGTACCCGAATTCCAAAGAAATGTACTAATAGCTTATTTTGTGTGAATAAATTTTATAAAAATTGGCTCAATTAGTTCGAATAAATTAAATTTCCCGTTTTTTTTCCCTTTATGGTACTTTTTCCCCAGTGAAATAGTAAATATTTTGTTTCAATGCATATTACAGAGTTAGTACGTATGTAATTTAATATGTAGACGTCAATAAATCGAAAAAGTTTTCTTAATGTGTTAGAAAAAAGTACCAAAAATACAGTTTTCTCCCTTTTACACACAAAAAGGAATAAATTTTAATAAAGTACTAAACAGGTATCTCATCATTTTGGAAGAGATATTCAACATATTTACAAAAATTTTATTAAGTTTATTAGTTAAAAAGTTATAAAGGGCCAAAAAAAGGTATTAAAATCACATTTGTTACACATTTTCACCCCTTAAAGTACGAATTTCAAAAAAGTACCACACGATCGTCTACTCATTATAAGAGTAGATACAAGTGCATTTAATTTCTTTTATCACTAATATTTAATACGATAATTCAAAAAACCCTTTTTACCCGTTTTCCCCCTTTTTACCGCTAAATTTACCAATTTCCAGAAATCCCTTCTTAGCGGATCTACATAACATAAAACAGGCATGGGGGTAATGATTACACAAAGTAATTAATTTCAATGTCAATTACAATTACTTGTAATGTTTAATTGAAAATAATCAATTACAATTACTTGTAATTGTAATTGAAATTTTTCCAATTACAATTACTTGTAATGTGTAATTGACAAATAACTTCAATTAAAATTACATGTAATTGTAATTGGTAATGCTTCAATTACAATTACTTCAAATGTAATTGCAATTGAAAATGTAGTCATTACCCCCAAGCCTGACATGAAACACATTGTAGGTGACATACATATATACACACACACACAGACATACATACACACATACATACATACATACATACATACATACATACATACATACATACATACATACATACATACATACATACATACATACATACATACATACATACATACATACATACATACATACATACATACATACATACATACATACATACATACATACATACATACAGTTGCGTTCAAAATAATAGGAGTGAAAATTTCAAAAATTTTAAATATAAACTTTTTAGTGAAAGATTTAGATTTTTAATTAAATATTTTTATAATTTATTTATATAACTTGTTCTCTAATTTTTATAATCGTTATTTTAAATATTTAAGAAATTTATTTAAAAAAATATATATTTTTTTAAATTTATATACAAAATCTGTTGTTCAAAATAATAGGAGTATTCGATTTAAGTTCAAATATTTTTAAAATAAAAACAAAAACCAAGGGATTTCATCTAAAATATTATTAATTAATGTGTGGCAGTACAGCATCAGTCATTTTTGTCAAGATTTTATTTAGAATTTGGGTATATGAGCCTCCGGATCATAATGTCTTTCCGACAACGGTTTTGAGAGGGTTGATGACACATGTCGTGGCCGATTATCCACAAATATGCAGTTATTTATTCAGAAAACCTTAAAGGACGTTATATGCAAAGTCTTTTAACGTTTTGCTTTAGAATCAGTATGTCGACAACCATGTAATGGCCTACTTCCTATGGAACGACCTCCCCACCAATATGGAATCAATAATGTTTTCATACCACAACACCGCCATTTTATCAAATTTGTTTATTGGGAATATGAGAACATATCTTGGGGTATTATGTTTACCTACAACATTTGGTCTACGATACCATTTTACAATCTTTACGACCATACCCTTTTTGTCAAGACCCATCGTGAATCATTCCTATTATACGACTTCTTTGAAAGTTGGTTAGAGCTTAATATTTTTCGATTAATGGACTTCCAATATATTTTCTGAATTCATTTAGATTAAAAAATGTAATTTGTTGTCGTGTTCATGCATTAAAAATTCATCCATGTATGAAACCACCTCTAAATGCGTTACTTAGTAAACTTTATGGGTTTTACTATATGCTTTATGGTCTGAAATTAAATTTTTTAAAAAAGATTTGCTTAAAAATTGATCTGAAC